GCAAGAGTGCATCCATCACGTATACCATGTTGAAGGGTGATTGCCCCGTCGAGCTCTTTGGAGTCGTTCTATAAGGCCATAGGACAGTTGTCAACTCATCGATCCAAGCTCTCGATGCTTTCTCTAGTCTTTTTTCAACCCTTGGAGAATAGTTCTGTTCGTCACCTCGACTTTACCATTTTCTTGTGGATGATCAACCGAGGCAAATCGTTGTTTATTCCCCATATCGAGGCACCACTCTTGGATTCACTTCCCCTGGAACTGGGTTCCATTATCTGAAATTAACACCTTTGGGATTCCAAATCGACAGCATATATTGTTGAACATGAATTGTATCATTTTCGCTTCAGTGACCCGCGCCAAGGGTTCCGCCTCGACCCACTTACTGAAGTAGTCGACTGCGACTACCAAGAATTTCTTTTGACCCGTTCCCATTGGCAATGGACCTACCAAGTCGATTCCCCATTGAGCAAAGGGGATTGGGTATTAGATTGTCGTCATCGTTTCAGCTGGAATATGAGTAATTTGCCCGTGTCTCTGGCACTTCTCGCATTCTTACACCAACTTTTCTGCCATTGCTCGCACTTTCGGCCAGTAATAACCTGCTCGTAAGGCTTTTCCAGCTAAAGCTCGAGATCGTATGCGCTCCGCAACATCCCTCGTGAATTTCTCTTAGAACATGATTTCCTTCTTCCTCTAAAACACATCTCAAGTGAGGCCCGACATATGACTTTTTGTATAAGACCCCGTCGACCTCAAAATACTTGTTTAGATATCGAGCAACTTTTTCTGCCTCTTGCTTGTCCCCCGTAAGTACTTGTCCTTGCAGGAGTTCTCAGATCAATTTCCTTCAGTCATCCTTCTCCTCGACTTCAATAGTTTCACCCAAAACACTTCCTTCCAAATACATGGTTGTAATACGATTTCCCATCTTTCCCTCGTTCGAGCTTGCAATTATTGCCAGCAAGTCGGCTCGTTTGTTTTTCTCTTGTGAGACTTGTGTCAATTCAAACTTTTCCAAACCCTGCACGAGGCTTTGAATTTCTTCGACATGTTTCATCATTCGATCATCTTTTATCTCGCAGTTTCCCAACACTTGTCCCACAACAAGTTGCGAATCAAATGCGTCATAATCTCGGTTGCTCCACCCCCTATGCGACTGAATTCCTTTGATGAGTGCTTCATATTCTGCTTCGTTATTCGAGGCTTTGAACCTCATACTCAACAACTCACAGCCAGCTGTGGATTCGACCAGCTGATCAATCCTTGGTAACGGATAATGATCCTTTGGGCATGCCAGGTTCAAGTCTCGAAAATCGATGCACATGCGCCATTTGTTCAATGACTTCCTCACCATCACTGTATTAGATATCAATTCTGGGAACTGAATTTCCTTAATATTCCCTGCTCTCAACAACTTATCCATCTCAACTTCAATGGTTTTGTCGATCTTCACTCCATGGTGTCTAAGTCGTTGTTTCACCGGTTTCTTAAGGGGGTCGACATTGAGTTTATGCTCCATAATTTTGGGGTCGATCCCCGTCAACACTTCAGGGGTGAAGACAAATATGTCCCTGAACTCTCTTAACAACCCAATCAGTTGGTTTTTCAACTCGTCCTTCAATTTTGTCCCACCTTTTGTGGTTTGGTCCTCCCTTTCGTCGATTTGTATCTCCATCAATTCTCCATGTGGCTCAAGGCCACTCCCCCTCGGCCTCCTTTCACTCGACATTGGCTTCTTTCCTTCTTTGATTTCGGCTCGCTGGTTGGTTTTCACCGTTATTTGGTAACAAGTTCTAGATAACTTCTGATCTCCTCAAGCCTCTCCTACTCGATCTCCAACAGGAAACTTTAGCTTCATATGGTAAGTCGATACTACGTCCTGAAAGGCATTAAGTGTTGGTTTCCCAAAAATCACATTGTAAGCCGACTCGATATCGACTGCCACAAATCTCACCATCTTCACCTTCCTTAAGTCGTCTTCTCCCAAGATGACAGCGAGCATGGTTTCTCCTAGGGGTACAACTTCCGATCCATTGAATCCAATGAGCGATGTATGCAGAGGTGTGAGTTGGATATCGAGCTCCATCCTTTTGAGAGAATCATAAAAGATCACATTCACCGAGCTTCTAGTGTCGACAAACACTTTATGTACTTCATAGCCCGACACTTGTGCGGTTATCATTAAAGAATCATTATGATGTCTCTCGACCTCTCCAACGTCTGCTGGTCCAAAATTCATCATTGGGCCATTCTCGTCGACTTGTTGTACCTCGACTTTCGCATGTCGCCCCCGAGCATATGACTTCCTTGCTCGATTTGAGTCTCTGACGGTTGGCCCGCCAAAGATCATGTAAATTACTCCCTTTTTTTGGGAGAGTTCCTCATTTTTAGGCGTTTGTGCTCTCTTGCGAGGGCTCTTGCTCCTTTCTCTCCTTCGGCTGGACCTCTTCCTGTCCTTATAGATAAACTCTTTTAGGTTCCCCGCCTTGATCAACCTCTCAATCTCGTCTTTGAGGTGCCTACAGTCGTCAGTGTTGTGCCCGTAGTCCTTGTGGAATCGACAATACATGTTGCTTTTAGGCTTTGTTGGTCCATCCTTTATCGTCCGGGGTCACCTCACCGCGTTGTCATGAATATCCCTTTACATCACTTCTAATATTCTTGCCTGGGGAGCCGACAAAGTAGTATATTGAATCGACCTCCATCCCCTAGATCGTCCCTCTCTATCTGCTCGCGGGGATTCCCTCATCTCTCCCGACGAATGAGGTTTATTTTTCTTCTTCTCGTCTCGAGTATCGACTTTGGTTGCCTTTGCTGCTTGTAAAAAGTCAGCTTCCGCTTCCTCGACATTCATATATTTTGCACATCTCCCCAACACCTCATCAAACGTCCTACCCGGACGCTTCGCCAATGAATTTTTGTACAGTCCGAGTAGCGATTCTCCCTCTTTCTGTTGTAACCCCATCAAACGTCCTCCCGACTTAATCTCCTTCGTTGTCGTGGGCACATCGACACACGCCCATGTATATCTCGTCACATAGTCTCGCAGCGATTCTCCCTCTTTCTGTTGTAACCCCATCAAAGAGAGGTACGATTTCTTTTAGGCTTGACACTCGTGAACTGATTGAGGAAACTCGAGCTGAACCCGTTAAAGTCCTTTATAGCTCCTGGGGGCAGTTGGTGAAACCAATCTTGTGCCTCGCAGTGTCGTCAGGAAAGCTCGACATTGGACAAGATCATTATAGCGATGCAGTACTCCCATGTTCTCAAAATTTCTCAAGTGACGAGATGGGTCAGCCGACCCGTCATACCATATGTTGAGCTCTCGGAACCCCTGTGGTAAGTCGACATCCAGGATGTCTTGCGAGAATGGATGTCCCCTCGAGCTCCTAGTTTTCCTCCCCTCGACTAGAGCCTGCAAATCCCTAACCTGAGCCATCAACTGCTCTAGTGTTTCGTTCCTCGCCTGCGGGTTAACAGTTCTGATGAGGATTCCTCCTCGTACACCCTCCTGCTCTGCCTCTCATTGGACTGAGCATGTTGCTCCCGCTCAATAGGTGGTTGCTCGACCTTAGGTTGCTCTACAGTAGGTTGCTCGGCCCTGGGTTTCTCGATCATAGGCTATTCAACCCTGGGCTGCTCGACTTGGGTCTGCTTGAGCTGGGTCGTCACTGCCTCCACAATCATTTTCTGCATCTCGCACCTCGTGACGGTCAGCGTCTGTTCCTCGACTTGGGGTGGTGGTCTCGCCCTTTGTTCCACCACTCCATCTGCACTCTGGCCCTGCATTTGGCTAGTTTCCCCTTGTGTCAACACTGGGATTTTTACCCCAGGTGGGGTAATGGGTGTTTCTTTAGTGTTATATACTGAAAGCTTGACTTTGAATGATATTACACTTTTACCCTTTATGAAATACAATTATAATGCTAATATAATAACAAAAATTAATTACACAATTTATTCTGATAGATCCCATTTTTTGGATGGGTACCCATTTATTTTATAATTATAATGGTAATATCTAATAATGATCATAATTATAAAATGTATACTCATTATATAACATAGAATTTTAAGTATAATATTTTACTATTGCTACTGTGCATCTGCACATGATCTAATACTAGTATATATTAATTTAAGCTATCAAACCAAAGTGATATCATGGTGTGTTTTCGGGCAATTTTACACTATAACGCACTATGAAGCACGTTTTACTATGTTTTTAAAAACAATGGGTAAAATAAAATATCAATATCCAAAAATAATAACGTGATAATAATAATTCATAATAATAATAAAGTTACTTTCGCATAAAATTGTACTTCTAGGTAACAAAAAATGATGTGGATGTTTAATAGTTAGTTGATTTTAAATAGTATGATATATAAGGTAACATGATCATGACACGTGTTATTATGTCAAATTTAATATCATTCTCTATGTCATTATAGCCATGACTAAAAATATACCATATATGGCATTGTTTGTCTCTCGTATCCCTTACTCTCTATCGTGGAATCCGCACTCTCGGTTGAGCTTTGGGTACCAATTTGGTCAAAACTTATGTTTCAGACTTAGGCTTTTATTTGGTATTATTTTACAAAATTCGGAGTTTTATTGTTTTATCAATTCAAGTAAACTAAAATTAAATATATTCAAAATTAAAATATTGTGCTTTTTAAATTTCTTTTTTTTTTTTTAAATTTTGATATATAACCTATCAACTGTTGGCTTCATAGCAAAACCGTTTCTAGTTATTATATGATTAACTAAAATGGAAATGATGGTCCAACTCAAACATAGCCCCAAACCTTTATTTTCAATTTAAAAACAATAAAAAAATAAAAAAATAAAAACAGCTATTAGGTTTCGACCGTTGGGGGTCGCGTAGCTATTGTTATTCAAACCTTTCATCTTCACACTTGGATCCGACCATTTTTATTCTTCAACAACAACATCAGCGAGTCTAAGCGTGTTCTTGTCAGATTTTCTTCATGTCCATCTCCACCAGACGCCATGGCTGGCAACGCCCTCTTCACCCTTTACAGGTTTCCCATGTTCCCTTCTTCCCTTCATTTTGTCTCCTTTTTAATTTACAAAACAAAACCTTACCTGGTTTCGGTTTTCTCATCTGAGTATTGATTTTGCTGCAGATTGTGGGGGTTTCAGTGTTCTGTTTCCTGGTTGCTGCATTTTTTTGCTTTGTTGGGCTTTTCTTAGGGAACAGAATTGCAGAGATCACTGTCAACACTGTTTTCTCCTTTGCGGTAAATTACTCGCAAGCATTTTCACACATCGATGGTCCCGATTCCCTCACCATTTAATAACAATTGATTCTTCATACATATGCTGCAGGTGCTTTCCTCTGCTCTTCTGTTCATTAGGTGTGCCGCCACGGATCCGAGTGACAAGATCAGGTTTAGATTCAGAAAGAAGAAGCAAAAAGGTGCGACATTTGGGGTCTCCAAGCTCAACTATGGATACATCTTTAGCCGGATTTTGTTGAGGTTATTCAAAAGGATGGAGCGGAAGATCCTAAGGACTTGCATAAGAAGGAAGTACTTAGACCCATGGAATAGTAGGATTCAAATCGAGCCTCTCATCCCGTTTCCACTTGTCCTTGAAGATGATGGTTCTTTCACCCCTGATCCGAAAGACGACGATGTCTCATTTTGCTCTCTTTGTGATTTTGAGGTTCCAAGAAAGAACCCTATCGGCTAGTCAGTTGTATCGCCAAAAAAATAACAACAATAATAATAACAATAATAGTAATAAATCATAATTCCTAATTGTTTCGCAGGTTCGCAGGTACAGTAAACATTGTAGGACTTGCAATCGTTGTGTTGAGGGGTTTGATCACCACTGCAGGGTAAGGGACAACAACGGTTATGTTGCAAAAATCGGTGGCACCCCAATTCTTATTTTCGATCACATTAGTTGATGGAATAATACTATTATGTGATTCAATTCTTACAGTGGCTCAACAACTGTGTGGGGAAAAGGAATTACACAACCTTCATTCTTCTGATGATTTTTGTCTTGATAATGGTTAGTAAATGATATCAATCAAGCTTTGGTGTATGCCTTTTAATCAATTATGTCCGTGCTTAATTATTCATTGTTGCTTTTACTAAATGTCCTGGCTTTTCTATCAATCAAGCTTTGATAATCATTTTTTGCTTAAATGTTGTTGTTACTTCTCATTCCAGCTCATTGTAGAAGGAGGAGCTGCTGTAGCAGTATTTGTTAGGTGTTTTGCTGACAGAAACGGCATACAACATGAGTTGGACAAAAGAAATTATGTTAAATTCCCTAGAGCTCTTCTTGCTTCCTTATTGGTAATGATATCATTATTCATCTTTTCAGGATGACATATGCACCTTAACAATCTTTCTTATAATTTAACCTTTTTTTTCTCCTCACCCGATAATAATCCCC